CTCTGACCATCATCTGGCTCATTTTAGACCTCCCTTTAAATGCTGTGCTATATCATGCCTTCCATTCTTTTTGTCAGGTCTGACTATGATGTGAAATTCCAGCATGTGGCAGCCAGATTTGGTTGCCACATGCTGGAATTCAACAAAAGCATCTAAATGTTTACTCATTTCAGCTTTGAGGGAGACTTGGATTAATTATTTTAGCAAGCTTCCAGTTTGTGATTAGGGAAGTAGAATTTAGCTGCCACGTACGTACAACACGGTATAGAAGCCAGAGTAGGTGCAGGTATAAGCAGTAATTCCCTTTGGGGAATAAAACCAACCAACCAACAACACAAACCAGCATTGAATGGCTTCCTGGTTTCATCCTGAAACACTCTAGAAATCACAGACCAATTCTAGCTTAACCTGTGTTTGTGGTGGTTTTTTCCATTTGTGCTGTCCAGGTTTGAGTGGTCTGGTTTTAATGACAAGTCATCTTTGAACATGACAGTGAAGTGTGGCAGTTCAGCTCCACAACTGGAGAAATTAAGGAGGGATGCAGGTGTTGCAAAGCAACCAGCTCTTTTTGCAGAAAGGGAGAGTGCAATTTCTTCAGCTTAAATGTCTGCAACAGGAAAAGATGTGCAAGTATTTAATGGACAGAAAAAGGCTGGAATCATGTTGCCAACTCTGTGATGTTAAGCAGTGCATGTTGCAGGCTGTCAGGCAGGGCTGCCCCCGTTGCCTCTCTCAGGGAAGCTTTTTCTCCTTGGATTACATACAGTAGCAGCAGCTGCCTGGCTCTAATGAAGACTTTGACTGATCCTACAGCCTGGAGTGAAACCGGTTGTACTGGCCCTGACAATTATTTAAAAATCTTTCCAGGCTGCCAGAGATTTCTTTTCAGTTCTTTGGAGCTTAAAATGAACCAAATGTGATCCATCTTATATCAGGTACCTTACTGTCAGAAATGAACTGGCTTGCAATAATAAATTAGCCCCATCAGAGCAGCTGGTGAAAGCAAGGAACTTGGACAGTTATTCAGAGTGCTGCTGTCTGCTGCTGACAGTTCCAGGGAGCTGGTACCAGTTCTGCCTGGGCAAAGACTGATAATAACTCAGCAATTTTTGAACACAATCAGTCCATTTTTGTTGGGAAGCATAAATTATTTTTTTTTGACAGTTTCAGCAAAAATATGTCCAGAACCAGGCTTTCACCTGTGGCATTGGATTAGACCAGACATAATTTAGTTTGTTCTTGTAAAACTTTGTTACTGTCCTATGCCTTCCAGAGGCAGAGGACTAGTCCAGCTTTGGCACAGCAATGTTCTGGGCAGGTTTGCTCAGGGGTATCTCTGTGTTAACAGCTCTCCTCCGTTATTATTATATAGATATATAAAAAAAGGCTTTCTTCTATTGTTAAAAAGGATAAACCATACCCACAAAATGTAAAAGTAATTCCTACTTCTCAATTTTAACACCAAATATGACTCCAAATTGTATTATTGTCAATTAAAAAGATTATTACATCTGTTGTCACTAACTGATCACCAGAATAGTTGTCACCTGCTTTCCTTAAGACACTTCTCCTGATTTGTTAACTACAAAATGCATGAACAGTTACTTTTCAGCTACACATTCCCATGATTAGCAGACTGAAGTGCATTTTTGCATGGATTTGAACATCCCAGCTCTGATACCTGTCTTGCGTTACCAGTTGTGTCCAGATTTACCCAAACACTGTTATTCAAAGGGAGTAGCACGTGTGATGGCTGGGAGAGAGTCAGGGTTATTGGGGACCTGTTGCAAGTAAGACAACCCAAACAACTTAGTATTTAAGTGGTTTAATGTAAACACTGGGGTGTTCTAGAGTTCTTTGTCAAACCATAATGTGTTTTACTATTATTTACATGACAGCATATGAATTTTTTGTCTCCTACTCATCCTTTATAAATATATTTCAAATTGCCAGACTTTTACTTAGATTTGCTGTATATATTTTTAAAAATCTATTATAGCTGAACTTCATTTGAACCTCTGGCTAGTCCTTGGCCACAGAGCTAAGTTTTACAGTTGGAACATCAGATTACATTTTACTAGAATAAGTTACTGTTCATAAATATATTACATATATATCCACATAAAAAAACCTGAGCTAATTAACACCTCTTTGTGAAAGTATCTTTTAAAAAAGGTAACTGCTTGAACAAAGTTAACTTGATTCTTTCTTGTTACTTAATTTTTATTGGTTTTCTGCAAATGTACTATTACTATATTTGCATATGGTACCATTAATATTTTTAATAAGTAATGGAATGAAGATCTTCATAGCAGGACAAACACTGTAAGTCACATTTTTTTACCCATTGTTTTATGCTGAGGGGCTGGTGGGCTGCTGTGGGGCTTTACTAATAACAGGTTTTTTTTCTGTCACTGGGGCAGGTTCTTCAATGCAGATGGATCAGCCTTGCTGCCAAGCTCTCTATGACTTTGAGCCAGAAAATGAAGGCGAGCTTGGGTTCAAGGAAGGGGATGTCATAACTTTGACCAATCAGATTGATGAGAATTGGTATGAGGGGATGTTAAATGGAGAGTCTGGCTTCTTCCCCATTAATTATGTTGAAGTGATGGTTCCCTTGCCTCAGTGATTGTGTCATTCAAGCTGTGAACACGATTTCATGACTGAAATGGATTCACAAGTGTTCTGTCAGTGTGGCATTCTGTGAAAGCCTTGCTATTAGACTGACTTACTGACTTTTGTATGCATCTTTTGAAAGTGTATTTATTTTATATTCAAAACAATTTTACCTTCCCTGAGTCCATCAACCTGCAAAAAAACCCATACCCAGTTTTTTTGCTTTGTGCCTTGAAGATCACTGTATGAAGTGTTTACTGGTAGCTCACTGTTGCTCCAAAAATGCATTTCCTTGCTCTTATTGTACATTTTTTTTTTAGTCTTTGGCTGCAATGATTTTACTATTGAAAACCATTTCTAAATACTGTCAGTGAAGCTAACTGTAACCAGTTCCTGATTTACTGATGTCATTGAGCTCTTTTCATCTATCACACTGTAATTTATTGTGAGCAAGTTAATCTGTGGTTCATATGGTATGTTGACAAAAGGCAAAGTAGTTGTTGTCAATATTATGATGTTGTACTAAGTACAAGTTCTCAGCATTGAAAATTCCTATAGTTTACTGACCAAACTGAATAAATATTTCTGTGGGACAAGAAGAGTGGTTGCTGCTTCTATTCCTATAATTCTGGCGTTTGTTTTTGAGCTGGAAGTCATGTTTGCTAAATATATCAGCTTTCAGTGAAGAAAAAAATGCTATATAAAAAAATGCACAAAAGCTAAAGTTTTATGACACCTCAGCTACTGGAATTGTAATAATTTTGCCCTCTCCCTACTGATTATGTATTATTTGTAATGTCTTAAAATTTTCCTTCTAGCAGGAGAATAAGGGAAAAATTCCTTTGGACTAACTATAAACTATCCTAGCTCCAAAAGGTTTGTATAGAATTCTATTGAGATAAACAGGTGAGTATCAGTGGTAGCTACTGCAAGCAAATGCAAATTCAATACACTTTTTTTACTTATTTGAAGGAAATAGAGAAGGAGAAGAGGAGACAAGGTAGAGAGAAAGACATAATAAAAAACATGCCCAAAAATGAAGGAAAAACTTAGGCATCTTAAGTACTATCAAAATGAAGATAGAAGGATAACAGATAACCCAACTAATTCTGTTTTCCTTAGTAAATATAGGGGCAGTAATGACCAAAAAGCTCAGCAGCCCCAGAGGAACATCTAAGACTTTACACAACATTTTATGGGCAAACTGCCTTGAATCCAGCTTCAGCAAGATCCTGTACCGCTGCTCTTTCCTTTTAAGACTTGTACAACTATGAAAGAGTTAACTAGTGTAACTTAATTCCACCCATCCCTTTTTCTATCAAAAGGTTGCTTTTTAAATACTGAAGATGACTCTTAAATCAAAGTTCATAGCAGTTTAACTTTATTTGACAAACTGAGTGACAAACAGGACAGCATGGCATATTCCTGAAGGCTTCTAAACCTCCAGGGAATCTTCCCTAAAGCAAACACTTTTATTGCTTCAAAATCCTTTGAGCCACTCAAATAAGATAATGAACAATTTATTTTTTTTAACCTGCAAATACTAAACTCCAAGACTGCTTTTTAACTAATAAATATATTTTTCATGTATATAAAAAGTTTAAGAAATCAAGATAACTAGAGCAAGGTTGTAGCAGCATCCTTCTATGAGGGCCATCATGTATCAGAATTGAGATCTGCTAAAACACACGTATTAAACCAGCATCTAGTCTTGATGTCTTAAAGGTAGGATTTTCAAATAACTTACATTAATATAAGTAAAGCTTTATCTTAATAACTGCATCCTAACACAGAACAGGTCTTAAATTCAGAACTGAATACCTTGACAAGGCAAGAGGCAGACTAAAAATTCCAGCACTTGGAGAAATCCTCAGTTTTATCTGCTTCTCTCCCTTCAGCTGTTCCCCTCATGCTCTTAAAGAGAAATACTTTGTGGCTCATGAAAGCCCATTCTTTACCATAGAGCCAGCAGGTGAGCATTTTAGGAAAAAGAGGCTAAGAGTAACTGAATGCAGTGGCCCCAGAGGCTGACTGCCTGGTTTCTGAGGGTTATAAGTCAGGCTTTACCTGGATTACAGAGCTATAAAAGTTACAGTAAATTACATACTGGCCAAGAGACAGTATTCCCCCAACTGCCCTACTAGACATACACAAAGCAGCACTGCAGACTGCACAGAAATTTAGTACAGAAGGATTCTAAGAGCAGATATTTTTGATGCACCTTTTATTACAAACAATTACTGGTTTCTAGTTCCGATTTATATTTCAGTTGTTTTTCTAGTCCCATGGAAAGCTGGCTTGTTGGGGCCATCCAAACAGAGTGCTAATAGCTAGTTGCAGTACATTTTCTGTTGGAATGAGATGCTTTTTCACATTTACAGGATTCATCTGTCCAAGTCTAGAAACAGATAGTACTGAAACTGGTCCATTTCCAGGTGCTAGAATACAGGAACAGTATATTTAGTAACAGACAACATTTTTACAGCTTGCTTTTAATTTTAAAAATGTTTCACTCTAGGAAGTTCTCTAGCAAGTGATCTAGACCAGTTTTAGTATATTTTAGCATCAGGATATGATCAGGACATTTCAGGCACTCAGCTCTCCTCAGGACACTTCTACTTCAACCAAGTTCAGACTTGCTGAAGGTGTAAGCCAGTGTGTGAACTGACCCTTGTTGTTTCCCACTCAGGCTTTAAGCAAGAATTACCTTTGGAGAAACACCATATCAGAATATTAAGAAAGCTGAGGCAGGCTCATGCTCATGAGTATGAGTCAAGTATTTAGCACCCTTCTAGGACATACTTTTTTTAAGTTTTGTAAACTGTATACACTTCTGTTTCAGCAGGTCACAGAAACCAAATCTTTGTGTTAAAGTAAAAATAACTTTACATGGAGCTTGTGTTCTGCTGCTCTTTCTATCAGTGAATCCAAGAACAGGGCCCAGTATCAGAAGGTAGGAAATTTCATCATGTTCTGGACAATGTTTCTTATCAAGAGGTCAGATGGGAGAAGTGAATTCCAAACTTCAGATATTGCAGAAGATACCAAAGCACACAGTCTGTGTCACCTGGAACTGAGATGTGTTTTCAGATGACCATCCCCTTGCCCACATTACATGACAGCACAGCTAGAATCCTCATTTTGCTGTAGAAATAAGATCGAGTGCTAATTAGTATGTGTACAAACAGTATTCATTGCTGCTTACCTACTTAACCCTCATGTAGGTGTTCAGAGTTTAGTGCTTTGCAGTTTCAGTTAATAAAGCAGGTTTTCAAGGGTCAATACCTTAACCATACTAGATGGCTTGAGGGAAAAACCCAAGCTTTTAGCAAGTTGATTCCATGCAATGCATGGGCCTGTGCCTTCCGTAATGAAAGGCTGTCAAGCCACCTCTCAGTAGTTCAGTACTGAAGCATCAACATTTAACTGACATGCAGATTCATGCTACCCTAGTTAGGATGGTAAAAGCAGAAGCAAAAACCACAGAAAACCTGCCTTTAAAGCACAGCATGCTTTCTTTGAATAATTTTACATGCAAGTTAGCTGTTTTGTAATAAGCTGCCATTAATTCAGTACTATCACTGCAGCAGAAGAATATAGGTACTAATGACAGAAGTTTGACAGGAAATCAGACAGGAATGACATTAACACTGGAGTGGAAGTATTACAATTGATTCTTACCATAGTTGGTTGACAACTTTACTGTAAAGTTGCTGATAGAACAGATTAGAGGTATAAAGAGAAAAGTTACTTTTGCTTTCCATCACTGATTGCTAAACAAATAATGTCATTAGTCAATTCAACTAAAGAGCCTTTAAAACTGTGGAGAGGCCCTACCCCAAACATGAAGGTAAGTTTGGATCATTAAGCCTTTCTATAAGCCTAAAGCTTCCACTAGTGTTACTTCAAATATTTTGGTGTATTCTGTGCATTAATAGGCCAAAGGCCAGAATAGTATTCTAGAAGCTCTCAATAGCCTAATTAACAGGGTCTCATCCTCTTTCAATTAAAAACTGAAATTACAGGAATGTGCATGGAAGTCAAGAGACTTTGATAAACATCCTTTAAGCCAGATAGTATTTCAGTAATAGATAGTTACCCAGGCTTTCTGTTTGAAAGAAGGACAAGGGAAGAACCAAGCAGCAGGCAGTAACTGCCTGTTCTTAAGTGTATTTTCATCAGGAAGACAGTACTAAGGTACTTAAGATTTCAAACAGGTATATTATGAAAACATTAAGAATTGTTGGTGGCTTTAGGACCTGGTGCAGTAAGATGCAAATCCTCCTTGGAACTATGTAGGATCAGTTTTAGCAAAAGCTGTGGTAGCTCAATGTGCTGTGTCAGCAGAAGTTTTTAAAAAGGTAGACTTCCCCTTGGGCTTAGGGCCTCAGCATTTGTACTGGCAAATGGGACTTGGTGCTATTTCAAATCAAGAAACAAACCAACTCCAAGGTCAAGTACAGACCATAATTGTTCAGTTAAGAACAATTTAAAGTCTTCATATTAGTTCTGGTTTAGACTACTTCAGCAATTAAAGATACCCAACTAGTATATCAAAATACACCAGGAGCATCCAATGTGCAAACATTCAGACTTGTAATATAGCCACTCAAAAGCCATTTGGAGAGGTTAGAGTCTTCATAGAGCATTACAACATTCAGGTTGTAGCCAAAGGGTTGAAAGTCTGCTGAAGGCGTAACTGCTTTTTCTATTTGACAATGTTAATTTTATTACTGTGACCTGTGTCTGCACAGAAGTTCACTTAGAAAGTGTTGAAGTGAGTAATTCATGACTGAAACAAGGTTGAGATACTTATTTTGCTGTGCAAAGTAAAAAAGTAGTTCCTGGAAATGAGCTGGAACAGAAATGCCTCAGACTCGTGCTTGAATTTACTTAATCAATAAGACTTAAGCTATAAATACACTAAGAACTTTGATTTCAGCCTTCTAATACTCCTGAATGGAAATATGAGCTTTCTTACATGTGAAATCAAGATATCATAAGAGCAAATCAGGGACACTAGAGCATCAGGTAATCACTTCATCCCAGGTATAAATACTTCTGGTTAATGTTTGCATTCTGTTCTTGGGGTAACAGCTTTTAAGCTTATTCTTAGTCAGATGTTTAGATGGAACAGACATTAAAGCTAGTATTTTTCAGTAATACAAGACAAAACAATTAATGCTACTATTTGATCATATTCAGCCAGAGAATAAGCAAAACACCAATTCTGCTTCTGATGCAAAGCCATGCAAGCTACATCCTACACAGGACAAGAGACTGCAGTGCTTTTAATGAAGCAAGTTTTTTTTATGAGATGACAAGTCTGATTCTTACCATCTCACCTGCTTAAAGATGCCCACAGGGACCACTATCATGAAACCAAACAACATTTCTTTTTTCTTCTCCTTTTGGTCTGATATCAAGAAAAATGTTAAGAGTTGTAGGATTTGAATAGTACTTGGGGAATTATTTTCATACAGTAATTAAAAGAAAAGGCCACTGAATTATTCTGTTTATAGCATGTATTTAAACTTCAGCAGCTTACCCGAGATGGAAACTCTAGTTCACTTCCAGTTATTTCTTCATAATCATCATCTTGTTCACCATTGTCTTCTCCTCTGGGTACTTGCATCATCTTCCTCTCTGCAAGTTCCTAGAACACAGTAGGATTGCCACCAAGAACCCTCATAAATTAAGCACATCAAACAATTTAATATGAGGACAGTAGAAGCCATTTACTCTCACTTACCTCACCATGCTCTGAGATGAGTGTAACATCAATATTATAGCCAGCTCCCCAGGATTTCTGAGACTTCCAGACCAGGTCACTAGGACCTGGACTTACACCAGCAGCTGCACCCCAGATCTGCAACAGATTCAGAATGAGCTTCAAGAATCTTATTTGTAGTTAGATCAGGATTCAGTCTACAATATACAGCTCTTTAAATAATACCAAAGATGTCCAGTGACAGAAACTGAACTGTAATACCTGGCAGGTTAGGTCATTCCAGGACTAGCAAGAACAGTGGTATTATGTTTTTTTTCTTAATTGAAGACTGTAGAACAGTGCAGAAAAGGCTGTTAAGAGCTTCTACCTGATGTAGAAGTAGCCTTGCTTGGACATGCATAGCATTTGATTCAGAGCCAAGCCACAGTTACAGATGTACTCATGGCAGCTATTTGTGTATACAAGATAGCCTCTAAACTGGGGTCACTCACAGACTTCTTGAGTCAGCTTGTACAGAGTTTGGACTGCAGAGCACAGAGCTCTTTGATCACTATCTAAATGCACTTAAGAGAATGATTTTAGGGCTAATATTAGGTTAGTATTACAAACCATGGACTCAGCTGAACTGCAGTGGACTACACCTTTTAGCAGCAAATAAAGTTGTCACACAACTTTTAGGGGAAACCCAAAAACAAACTAGAGGATACTATGTTCATAATAACAACACATCCCAATCTGGGATGATCCAAGTTTAATCCAAGATCTAGCATTATAGAAACTTCAGTTGATGTTTCAGATCAAGTAGTTGCAAGGATTTTTTCCATTTCCCTCTCCACATAAGGAATTTCATTATTTAGGCACTTGCAATACCAGTTTATGGTTTTCCTTATCACCTAGGTTTCTACTGCCATCTAACATAACAAAAACAGAGCTCTGATTAAGTTTTACAAAACCTCTACCTACTGTAACTACTTGGCCCGCCTGAAGAGTGAACTGTGCAGGAAATTTGTATGTTACATCTGACACACTTCCAAGATGTCTTCTTAACACCCAGCCATGTAGTGACTGATCCTGTGGAACAAAAATCTTCTCTCAGCATTTCACACCAACACCATATTATACAAGCACAAGGTTCTTCCCAGACTCAGGTCAGTTTTAGTCCCACTGCTGTAGGGTATATAACTGATAATTTTTCCATTAAAAAGACAACATGTTTCTTGAGTTCTTTTTTTTTAATAACTGATAAACTTAAATGTTTTCTATTAAAGCCTCCCTTGGATTTCTCCCAGTACTTCCTTAGGATTACTATCAGTCCACAAGTTTAGGCACATCTGTTCTTGCCTTCTATTGAATGTCATGATGCTCTTTACCAGGGAGATTCTGATACATGAAGCTGGCCATGCCCATCTACAAACTGGAGCCACAGAGAACTAATTCACAGTGGCCTTGAAAGGTTTAAGGCATCTCTGGCTGAAGTGGCCAAGCTGCCAACCAAAACTTTTGGAGCTCTGAGGATTAATTTCAAGAGCTCTGGATTTGCAGATTAGACTAATAAAATAATCTAATTGGACAGATAATCCCTCTATGTGGATCAGATACCATCAGCTCTGTTCACCTTTTTAGCTGCTTTAAGTATTCCTAAGTAGTAAGAAGCTGTTATCCAGTTTACTAAGCATCTTAATTAGTTTAAGCATAACCAGTACTTTTGATAGTGCTAGCCTGAATCTGATGAGAAACAACTAAAGGTATTAGATTTTCAAATCATACAACCATCTCTCCCCAAAAGCACCTCCCAGACAACCCCTATGAACAAAGCATTTACAGTATGAAAAAAAAAATAAAAATCAGTCTCTAGTCTTGACAGGAGCCAGATTAGCTGAGAAGTCCCCATTTAGTATTTAATCTGGCAGTTCTCTTCCCTCATCTCTTCATCCTTCCTTATTGACATCTCTCACTAAGCTACAAGTGAGTTCAGAGACATTTTGCAAAGGCCAGAATCAAATGAATAAAAGTACCTCATCAGAGTTGTTTTTAAGCCTGACAAATTTTCCATCTTCATCAATTTCTTCGATAGATACATTTCCAGAAGATGAAGCATGCTGAACAGTCTTAAATCCAGCACTATGCCCTCTCTTTTTGGCTTCTTTCATTTTCCTTTTCTTCCCCTGCAGGAACCGTCGCCCTTGACTTGTTGCTTGGGTTGCTGTGCTGTGTGAAGGTGGACTGGATGACAGGTTTAGCCTACAAGAGAGCCAGATAACATTCACCTAAGTATCTGATCTACTTGTTTCTTCTCTTATCTGCCCACTATAGCCTAACAACTAACAACTTCTATAAAGCTTAACAATTTCTTATATCCAGACTTTCCATGAAGTCTTGAATACAAGATTTTATTTTTCCTGGCAAGACAGTAGCTTGTTAACTTTAGAAGACAGCCCTAGAGTTCAGAGCAACCTTATGTTGATAAAATTCACATGTGCAGTAAGTGTTCCTTTAAAGTCTCTACAGACACAATCTTAAGTGGAAGGAGTTAAAGTCTTTTACCCTTCTTTGCATGTAGAATTCATGTTGTTCTCACCAGGTAGTAATACCATTTCCCTGTTCCATTGACAAAACTTGAGCACTGACTTTGATGTATCACTAGGACAGCACAAAGCTTTGAGAAAGTCTTGATTCTAGGAAGGGATGTCTAATGTACCTTAGAACATTTTCAGCTGGGTTTATCAAGTTACTTCATCTTACCACAGCATGTGGTGGATATAAGATATAAACACCATCTAGGAAATACTATGCTCGAAGAACTAAACGACAGCACTAATCACATACTTGATATGTACGTTTTGTTTCCCAAGGAGCTTGTCATAGCCTACCTCTGTTCTTCTCCTTCCAGCATCTTCCTGTAGGCATTTATTTCCAGATCTAGAGCCAGTTTCACATCTAAGAGATTCTCATATTCTTGCAGCTGTTCTTGTGCCTGCTGCTGGGCTTGTGCCAGTTCTCTCTCTTTTTCAGCCATATGTCGTCGATAGAAATCACGGTCATAATCCAGTGTCCCCTGCAGTTCCCTTATTTTGCTCTCCAAAGCAACATTCTGCAATTAAAGGGAGGAAAAATCAATTGAACTGTTAACTGAAGATTAGAGAGGAGAGGCCAGTATTTCAAATTTAGTATAGAAATAAGAATTATTCTAAGGATATACAAATAAAGACAGTACCTGGCTTTGATATTGACTAACTTGAGATGTCAGAGAATCAACTCTCAGCATTGTTTCCATCAGCTCCTCCTGAGCAGCTTTGGCAAAGTCACTATTTCTTGCTGCAATTTGCTGGGCATTCTCCATCTATGGACAAGTCACCATTAGTAATGAGTTGCTTATGACCACATTTTACATAAGAAACCCAAGTGATTTCTAGCTGTTACATCTGAAACCAATTGTTTTACTTAAGTGTGCAGGTACCAGTAAAGTTCAGGTCAGCAAATTTTTCATTGCTTTCTGGGAAGGTTTACACAAGTCTGATATTCATGTCAGAAAAAAACTACAGGAATCAGGTAGTGAAAACTGCTGGATTAGGATATTCTAATTACAGATGAATGAAGATTTGTATAGACATGAAGTAAATGGATTCTCTAGAAAAAACAATGGAGAATATATTTAGGAGCTGCTTGTCAAAGCATGGGCATAGGCTACAGGATCTTAGGTGTACTTAAACTATTATCTTTCCCAGAAGTTCTATAAGCAGAATCACTCAGCTATTTCTAGAGCAATTCAATTTTGAGACATTCCAAGAAAGGATGAAGTAGAGCCATGCTACTAAAAGTGTCACTCAGCACCATTTATGCTAGTGTGACTTCAATCATAGAATGGTGCAGAGAAATTAAGCTTTGTTGGTATCTTTCACAGACTCACTTTTGCATTGAATGTTCGTTCCAGCTCCTCTTTGTATCCTTGAACTTGTTCTTCTTGTTGTTTTCTGAGACATCTCAGAGCATTTGAGAGCTTACTCTCAAATTCTCTCTGACGGTTAGATACTGCCTCTGTTACCATGCTGTCATGGACTCTTTTTGCCTCCTTGAGCTCCTAGGAGAATAAATTTCTCAGAGAATAAGCAAGCCAATGCAGTTTGATTTGAAACTGTACTTCCTGTACCAGCTTAACAAGCCGTTCAATACTGAAGCAGATTTATTATTGACTGCATGGTAATTCATCTTTATTCAGACCTTAGATATTCATCCATTAGGTCAGGTAGTTCCACCTTGCTAGCTGTGCTGGCTTGTTTTGCTTCCTCACTGCCACATTGCTTAAACTGATATTTCATTCTAAGACTTAATTCTTTGAATTAATTGATTTCTCTGCTTTTCATTACTTTGAACACATGCGTGAACACTTCAGTTTCTCAAAGTACTGTTACTTCATCTATTCTTTGTTTATTCAAAAACAGCAGTTGGTTAGAGAAACTGGAATTCTCTGTCACTTAAGCCACACACAGATTACTTACAGAAGGAAGCTGGCTTACATTCACATGTTTTTTAGTTCTGTGTACTGACTTCTCAGAGGTTACCAGACACCTTGGGTAAGTGTTAAGTAGGGAACATAAGATGCTTATAAAAGGAGATTTAACTTCAATTATTTTAGGCTTCTAGTAAACCTCTGGAATAAGTTAGCTGTAATGTAAGGCCTACTCAGTTACAGAGTAGTATATTGGAATTGTTACTTTTAGAAGTGCAGCCTGAAAAAATTATCACATATTCCAGATACCTATTGGTACTATGCCAGTTAACATGAGGGTGTGTGCTTTCTTGAAGTCTTCCTAGTTAGGTGGATTTTATTGGCTTGTGGACTGCCATAGATTCACTCAGCTAGTTACATGTTTTAAGGAAAAGCACAACTTAACATTGCTTTAAAGTGCATCCAGGGATCATGGACAACTAAAAAATCCTTGTTAATAAGCCAAAACATACATCTTCATGAAGGCGCTTCTGGAACAACATTTCTTCCTGCAAAGTTTTCACATGATTTTCCAGGTCCACTCTCCTCAACATTTCACTGTGGAGATGCTTTTTGGAATCTTCAAGTGACGTCTCCAGCTAGAAAAGAGAGACATCTGGGTATTCAAATTAAGAGGCCATTTCTCCAAACTAAACCAATCAACTTACTACAGGTCATTCCACTTCATTCCCACAGCAATCAAAACATACTGCTTAAGTGAAGCTGGTTACTCCGTTCACATGCTTAATTCAGCAGGATCCAACATATTAGCAACAGAAAGAACCCTAATTGTTATGTAGGCCAGTCAAATAGAGAGTAGCCTTTAATCCTGCCAGCTAAGTTTGACTCCTCAAAGTACATTTCTGATGAATCAATTGTACTATCTATATACATTCCTTCCCTTCACAACACCAGGTATTCCAATCACCTCCCCGACTTCCAATATAATGTTTTATGCTTAAAAACTTAAATCCTCCAAATATAGCATAACTGTGTTGTCAAACTATTATAAACTTTGAGTGTTGAGTGTGCTTCTTTAAGCATACAAGTTTGGGGTTTAAGTTTTTGTTCTGAGCACTTGAAATTAGCTTATTTAATGATCACATTAAAACATGAAATGTCTAGATGGAGTAGCAACTCAGAGTTCATTTTGGTAGCTCAAGAGCTTAGAAAAAAAGTAGCCAGGAGCTAATTATTATACCTAGATTTAAGCAAAGTGAAGCAGGGTTCATCAAATGCTCTTTGTGGACACATTAGAGAATGCTACAGGAGCTACAGCAGTACCACACATTTCAATTTACTTTGTCCTTAGAACATGGAACATTACATACTGTGGTCATAGAATAGAATTAAAGGTACCTACAACAGGTGGAAGTTTTAACAGACCAATTATCAATAGCATTTGCTTATAGAAAGATTACAGAAATCTTTTTGTCTTGTCCATCTAACATTGCCATTGATAAGCATTTCCCTGCTTTTAAACCTAAATAACTAGTTGGAGAAAAACAGGCAAAAGCTTCAGAAACAAAAGCACAGTTGAAATTCAAGAAACAAGTCTTACAGTGACTACTTGATCCTTTACTTCACGAAGTTCATTCTCCAAACTTCTGTTCTCATTCACAGCTGTTGCCAAGTCAGCTTCCTTCACATTTAGCTGAGCATCAAGGTCCCTCACACGAGCCTGTGTCGTGTTTAAATCAGCTTCTTTTTTTGAATTCCTGCAAGTGAAAGTTTTACACTCCTAAGTTGCAGCTGGTGCAGTAGAAAGTTTGTCTTTAACATCCTTACCTTCACAGGGGGTCTGTGGCAGAACTGAAACAGAAGAGATGTTAGTTAAACACTCATGAGAGCACAGGGCAAGCTGTAAAATAAACCAAACAAGCCCTTCAGACAAATATAATTTGTTTAACCAGAAAGATTTCTGACCCAGTTTCCAGCTTGGTTTGTGCAAATCCAATGTGGAAGCCAGCAATTTTCCATGGCATGACCAACTGGGGAGGCCAGGGACAGCACAGGCCCTTGTCTCTACACGGAGGGAGCAATCACACTCAAAGCTGAAGCTGCCCAGACCACGGTGACCTGCCTCCCCTGAGCAGGCTGCTCAGATACGTCCTTTCAGCAGACAAGGCTGCCCCCAGCCTCCCAGCCCCCTGGCCCAGGCCCAGCGGGTGCAGTGCAGCCCCTCAGCAGGCCGGTGCAGCCGCAGTGACAGGGCAGGCCCGCTGAGGCGGGGCGGGTCGGGCGCGGGGGCCACCGGGGAAACCGAC